CTGTCTCCGTTTGCACCACGAGTTGCTGCACCAAGAGAAAGAGGTGCCAAGAGTTTATAATGCTTCGTGTCAGCTGTTTTCTAATGGCTATGGAGTGAGTTTGGGAATCATTCCATTGAGGGTCTTACTGGGTCTTCATTAACTAACGCCCTCTTAGACACAAGAGTCGACACTTCCCTGATACGAGCGAACCTAGCAGATCAGTTAGGTCTGAAGGGTAAACCAGAGGACATATTCATGAACACGCTGTTAGGGAATACCCGCAAAAGCTATTCCAGTTTAATCTTTAGAGTACGGTCCTCGGATGGTGCCGAAGAAAAAGATGTCTAGAAGGCATACACTGTCGCGTCTGTACTCGAGAGTCCTGTCTCAAACCTGGTGCTGTAACGCCTTCTAGATAGAGCCACCTAAAGGGAGTCAACTTTTCCATAACGAACTGTCCGATAGTTGGTGTGCTGATTGGTTTGAATGTGCCAGAAGCACATTGGATACTGGAACAAGGACGAGGAAAGAAAGGGGACCCATACGCAGATCGTACTCCGTTAGTTTGGGTCCTTAGGGGACCGGTAGATCGCAGTCACAACGGTGGTGTGCGTATGTGTGCTGTACACGGACTGAAGAAAATTGTGGAGGATATCTGCCGGCTTTACAATCAAGAATGCACTAAATGTGTCTCAAGTGACTTGTCTCAGTCAGCTGAAGACGCACGCGCAGTTGTCATTGCGAAAAAAGTCTGTGCGAGAAGTGGAGGGACATTTATGTGTAACATTGCCGGGGAGAGACGATAAGCTGCAAGGAGTGTGTAATAAACCGGCAGTACTGAAGCGTTTAGTTTCCTTGGGTCGAAAGTTTCAAGTTGACCAAGGCATGCAAGATAAATATTCTGCGGTTATCGGCAGATATTTGGAAAGAGGCTATGCAAAAAGGTAGAGACGGAAGCTGATGACACTGGCTTTAAATGGTATCCACCACATCATGCTGTTCTATATCCTAAGAAGCCGGATAAATTAAGGGTTGTATTTGATTGTGCAGCGGTTTATTCAGGGGAGTCCTTGAATATGATTTGTTCCAAGGAACGAACATCGTGTCTAGTCTAGTCGGAGTCCTGCTTCGCTTTCGTCAGAAGCCTATTGCCGTTACAGCGGATATTGAGGATATGTTTTTACAGGTCAAAGTTCCGGAATCGGATTAGACGGATCTCCAATTTCTATGGTGGTCTGAGGGTAGCCCAGCTCAACTAATTGAGGAGTACTGAATGACGGTTCACCCTTTCGGAGCGGTCTCTTCGCCATTTTGTGCGAGTTTTGCTTGGAGGAAGACAGCCAATTTAAACGGCCACGATTACCCTTCCTCGATAACCGATGAAGTTCAAAGCGGTTTTTATGTGGATGACTTGTTGTTGTCTGTCGATGATCAAATCGAAGCACGCAGCACAATCAGTGGCCTAACACAACTGTTAGGTCGTGCCGGGTTCAAACTGACTAAGTGGGCTAGTAACCGGTGAGAGGTTTTGATTCAGATTCCTTCTGACGAAAGGAATGTTTTGGTTAAGGAATTGTCTGACGGTACGCCTCCTAAGGAAAAGGCCCTCGGTCTGGCTTGGGACATGGAGGGTGATTCATTTATCTACCAGTTTGAAATGAAGGAGTGCCCGGTTACGCGAAGACTGTTGTTGTCGCGTTTGCCAGCTATCTATGACCCACTCGGGTGGATTAGCCCAGTTATATTACCTTCAAAGTTATGGTTTCAAGATCAGTGTAGAAAAGGAGTGGGTTGGGATGAATTGGTAGAGAGTGAAGAGCACAGATGGCGGCGTTGTTGTGCCATTTTAGAAAGTCTAAATAGTATTAAGTTGCCCAGATGGTATCTTTATAGAACTTCAGATACAGATCACGAGGTGGAGCTTCAAGTGTTCAGTGACGCATCGGAAAAGGGCTATGGGGCTGTTGCGTACTTTCGTTTCATCGGTAAACAGGAACCTACGAAGTGTGTGCTGGTTATGGCTAAGTCCCGAGTAGCTCCTTTGAAGTTTGTCACCATACCTCGTCTCGAGTTATCGGCCGCGGTGTTGGCTACTCAGTTAGCTAGAACGAAACAAAAAGAAATAGAAATATCTCTACGACAAGTGTGTTATTGGTCGGACTCAGCATCCGTCTTATATTATATTAAAAATGATAAAAGCCGCCGATATTCGTCGCTAATCGCGTAGCTAAAATCAAAGAAGTTTCTACCTCAGAACAGCGGCTACACGTGCCAGGGAAGGATAACCCTGCGGACATAGCCTCACAAGGTATGACGCATTAAGAAAAAGACCAGATCTTATGGTTTCAGGGGTCACAGTTTCTAAGTCAACTGGGCATGACTGACTATGAAACGGATACATGCCCCGATCCCTCAAACGAATTCTTAGAAGTAAGGGAGGAAAGAGTGATTGCATCAGTTGTCAACGTTGCTTATAAACGTTATTTCGAGAGGTTCTCCCCGTGGTTGTCACTGATAAAGTCCGTGGCCTGGATTTTGAGGTTCAGACAATATCTGCTCATCCTTAGTAGGGGCAAAACCCAAATGTCGTTGAAGGTAGGCTCTTTAACATTGTCAGAACTAAGAAGCAGTCGTGATGCTATTGTTAGTCTAGTACAAGCGGAGTGTTTTCCCCGGGAACTGAGCGTACTACGTGGTGAAACCAAAGATAGCCAGCGAATGTCTACAAATAGCGCAATAAACGATTAAACCCCATTCTTATTGATGGACTCTTATGTGTTGGGGGTCGTCTACAATGGTCGGATATGTCATAGGCCCTTAAACATCCTGTAATCCTTCCTGTCAAGCATCATATGACACATTTGATAATTAGATATCATCATGAGTTCGATGGTCATGTAGGTTGCAATCTAGTCTTAGCCAGTATTCGGAGGAGGTTCTGGGTACTAAAGGGCAGGGCCGCCGTTCGACGTATCATTGGAAGATGTATGCAATGCCGAAGGTATCAGGCGCATCCTGGCTGTCAGAAAATGGCACCTTTACCTTTAGAACTGGTCATTCATGATAAACATGCCTTTGCGGATGTAGAAGTGGATTTCTTTGGTCCACTATACGTAAAGCAAGGACGGTTGGAACGAAAGCGATATGCGTGTTTATTCACATGTTTAAATATACGGGCATTACACATTGAAGTGACTCATTCTCTCTCGTCCGACGCCTTTTTGCAAGCCTTTCTGCGCTTCATAGCAAGACGAGAAAGACCGGAAGTGGTTTTTAGGGAC